GACGGACGGACGGATTAATGGCAAATTCACATGTCGGTGGTGACGGTGGTTCTCTGATGGCCATTGGCTGCGTTCGGCAGATTCAATAATTGAGTGAGCGCTCCAAACTTCTTGCACGATTCATCTTTCTTCCTTTTCTCTCTACGTTAGAGAGCAAAAGAGAAAAGATGAACCGTGCTAGAACTTCAGCTAAAAAGAACAGACCTGAGTATTTTAAATCTTGTGGAGAGGTGGAATTGCCGGTCAAGCGCGGTAAATAATTGAGAACCTAACCTCAATTATTGTTTACTGTTTGCCACAATGTTGTTCGTGCCTGTCGTTTTTAATAACGCATTTGTTTTTTATATCATGATGAAATGCCTTTTGCGTCAAGTTGACTTCATGCACACGACAACGGTAATTTTTTGCAAATATTATAAATAAATAAAAGGACCAAAATAAATTAAATCTATTTTGTCAGTGTAAAACGTGACATGACAACACGTATCTATATACGTGCATAAACTACATTGAAATTAATTTCGATTTGAAAACCAAAAATTTAGCGTGACTGGAAATTCATCAAGTAAGCGCTTTTTTATTATCTTGCATTTTCTTATAATTGTTTCGGCTCTTAAAATATTTATATAAAAAAGATTCGCGTCTCTTATTTTCATTTGCAAAACAATATATTAAGAATTCATTAAAACTGGAGCAGGACACTTCTGTGTATTTTCTTGTGAAAAAAATATTAAATTTAAATAGTATATACTATTTAAATAGTAATAACACCAACATTTATTTATAGTAAATGAATATTTACTCAATAAAAAAATAGTTGAAAAGGATAGTTGAATTAATTAATCGTTCTTATACTAAACAAATGTATCTTTATATTCAGTAAATATTTAGTTGGTGTTATTCAAACAAATATTTTATTAAAATTTAATAGATTTTTCCACTGTGTATTATTAAAATTTTAATTTTTTAAATTTTGTTTCTATTTTTCTCTTAATTCATTTAACTTTGTGATAATTAAATTAATTTCCTTATTTTCTTTCTTATTCTCAGCGATATTGTATATGTACCATATGCTGGACAAGATTAAGATACATTTTTACAAAGATATTATAAAGTTAAAAGAAACTTATATGCTGACAAGAATAACAAAAAGAAGACGATGGAAGATAATAGCAGAAAGCAGGGATTTAAAAGAGGATTGGAAGCAGATAAGATCCTTGGTTCGGCAGAAGACAATGGAAAACTGATGTACTTGATACAATGGTAGATAATAAGTCCTATGTATATTCTTGTCATTATTATTAGTATTATATCCCAGGTAGAACACAAAATAATACAATGAAGATGACAGAAAGTTAAAGTCATTTTAGGAAAAATTATGATGCCATTCAATACACTTTTTGATGATTTAATGATGAATTCTTGACATGACAATAATTTTTAAGTGATTTTTTTAAATTAAAAAACATAAGATCATAGTAAGATCAAAATACCATTAAGTTCAACTCATTTTGAAAAAAAATCATAATGTCATTTGATATACTTTTGACAATGATTTTTTGACAAATTTATGACATAATGATTTTTAAATAATTTTTTAACTAAACAATTATTTGAAAATTATTGTTATGTCGAAAATTCATCATACAATCTTCGTAAAAAGTATATCGAATGGCATTCTGATTTTTTATTTAAATGACTTCTACTTGATGTTATCTCGACCTTATTGTGATTCTATATTGTACTTGGATTCCTTGATGATCAAGTTGGTAAGGCGTTTGGACACAATAAGAGAAATACAGATTTGAATCCTGACTAAAGTAATATTTTTTGCAATAAATTTTTTACAGTGTTAAAAGATACTCATTGACTTCAGTTAATATTAAATTACTTGTGGTATTATATAGTTCAGCCAATCTAGAATTGTATATCAAGCCGACAAATAATCAGCATGTAATTAACTTAAACTGGAAATTGTAATAATTCACATAATTATATATTTAGGCATAAAACTTCATCTTGGCCAAATGAAACCTTCACTTATTTATGTTGATATATTTATTTCTAACATTTAATGTACATTCGGAAATACAAAAAAAGAATTTAAACTAATGAAAGTTAAAAACGATTGAAGCCGATTGACGAGTAAGAATAATTTTGTTTGCGCAGGAAAGGAACAGATGCAGTCGACATGGTGTCTGCCAATGAAGCCAATACCAAGTGTCCTCAGATTGTTATCCGATTTTATGAGGACAGAATAACCTGGAATAAAGCAAAAATAAAAGCGTAAAATACTTTATGAACTTTCTTGAAATGGGAAGCTGGATCTCTATATATTTTAAGAAAATTGTCTTTTATTATGATCTCTTGATGCGATCAAAATCTTATTACAAATGCTTCGGAGCACTTTACTAATTAACTAATCAAATAATCCTTCATCGCATTTGTAGTATCACGTTAACCGTTTTCTATGTAAATGTATTATATTCTCAAATTATAACTTTTATTGAAATGAATGTATATCTTTTTTTTATTATTGTTTATTTAATTTCCTTCAATCTCTATACTTGACTCTTAATTTTAACAAAACATCTCTTTTTTAACTATTTATCTGTTCTTTATTTTTACTTGCAATATTTTCCATTTGTTTTTTTATCCACAATTTCTGAGTAGAAAAAAATTAATGTCACAAAGGTTTGTCTGATTATCCCAAATATATGTTTCCAAAATTTTTCGAAAAAGAATATTTTCTTTAGGGTTGGGTAAGTTAATTTTTTCTTTTAACTAAGTTAACAACCTTGAAAATTTAACTTTGTTAAGATACAAGTTAATGTATAATGAAATTAATTGAATTAAAAGTTAAGTTAATAAAAAAAAGTAATTGAAAAATTAAAAGTTAAATTTCATTATATTTTATGATTTCAGAGAGACAGAAAGAGTCTTACAAATAACGGAAATGAGAAATATATACTTCATTTAGAATATACTCTATATTTTATTTAAACTTTTTGTTTATATATAATGTTTTATGTTATGTCGTGCACGACATAAACACACACATACACACATGCACACACACACACCATAAAAGTCGAACGAACTAAAGCGGTCGCACGTGCGCATACAAGAGTATGATCCCAGGAGCCGATAATGGTAACGACGGAAGGGATTGTAAGAGGGCGGCAGCGATCAAAGACTCTCTTGCGTTTGTCGGTTAATTTGTGACCTTCAGTTTCGGCGTCAACGTGTCGCCCCTTTCCCACCACCACGACCAATCAGCGCGGACCGGAAATTTTTCCGTGATCTCGCAATCGGAAGGAAGTCCCATTCTACAAGGATCCAAGGTACAGCTCACATCGACGAGTCGTTACCAACGGTATCCAGTACGTGCGATTATACCGCGATATCAGGCAAGTGCCTTAAGCGTACCGAGT